CAGACCCCGTCCGGAGCCCGCGCAGCCCAGCCAGAGAAATTTAGGGCCGAAAGCCACAGAAATCCACGCTGGCCGCTGTATAATGCGGTCAGAGCCAGCAGCCGGCCACAGGGACCCGAGGCTGCGCCCCACGTGGCTGCCTCCCGCGCGGCACCCCGATCTCTCTCCTGGGCGCGCCCGGAGCCCGTCCTAGTCCCACCTGACTCCCTAGAACCTGCCCTCCCACACCCCTGCCCCCACCTTCCCAAGAAGACCCACGGGCTGTGAGGCCAGAAAAGTGCGGACCTGAGTCCCAACTCCAAAAGTCACAGGCTCCGCAGTCCTGAGCCAGCCACACAGCCTCTCTGAGCCTCCGTGTCTCCCCTGGGTGTCAGGAACACTGTACCCACAGCACAGGCCTGAGCGCCCCCTGCTTCTCCGCAGGGGCAGGAAGAAGGGCCGTGGAGCAGATGCCGGTTGAATGTTTGGCCTCAGCTCTTGCCTGCTCTGGCTACCCTCACTGCTCAAGAACCTTCCATGGCTCCCCATGGCCAGCTGAATAAAGTCCAATCTCCATGCTCCTCCTTGGTCCCTCATCACCTCTCCTTGCAGCCTCGATCCCCTCAACTGGGCGTGCACCCTGGACTCGGGCCAGTGCCCGGCCATAACTGTTCACCCAAAGCACCGGAGTTGGTGGGTGTCTGACCACACCTGGATCACAGAAAGGCAGTAAGAGGCAAGCAGAAGGCAGAAACAGTAACCACCACAGCAGATACGTGAGTATGCGCATGCACAGGGTGGCACTGGGTCAGGGCAGGTCAGATGCTACCATCACATCAGGTACAAAACATTTTCGGCTGCGAATACATTACACCTTACTCTCCACATGTCTTGTCCAGCCCTGTTCCTTTGTTCATGCAACTCCCTCCCCCAGAAATAAAATCTCCTTCCACCTGAGTTTGTTGGGCTCCTATTTATGCTTCAAAGAGTCATCTGAAATGCCTTCTGTTAAATGAAAATCGAATGAATGGGGAGGATGCTCTGCAGTGGAACCAGAGCTCTAGAAACCTCATTCTCATGTAATGTACCCGGGTGGGGGGCAGCTTCACCTTTTTGGATCTCAGTTGCTTGTGACTACAACAAAAGGATTGGTTGAAATTCTTTTGTTTGCCAACAATATTTTCATTCTCAATTCAGTCTCCGCTTGTTTTCTTTCCCCCCAATACCAGGGATCGAACTCAGGACCTTGCATTTGCCAGGCAAGGGTGGCGTCACTGAGTTCCATCCCTGGCTCTTCGATTCCCACAAAATAGACACTGAATGACCGAACAAGTGAACTTCAGGAAGTCCCTGTTCCAAGCTTCGGCCAGGAAGCACCAGCCTCAGCACCTGGCTTGGGGTCGGGATGGTATCACTACTTCCAGAGCAGTCACTCTGGGGCAGTGCGACAGGAAATGTCCTTAAGGGTCCTGCCCACAGCCCACAACCTCCCTGTAGAAGGCAAAAGGCTCAGAAAACAAGGTGGGGTTGGGGGCCCTAAGTGCTGGGCAGGGCCTGACATCACGGGTCCAGGGCTGGGCAAAGAGGGTGAATCCAGGAGCCCACACGGCAGCTGGGGCTACGACTGCCTCCAACAAAGGGGCTCCTTCCCAGGCTGGATCGTAGGGGCCACTCGTGGGGCCACAGGGCAGCAAGGCCTCATCCCCAAGCGCGGGAGCGGGCGGGAAAGGGCGGCCGCCTCCCTTCATGGAGGCTCAGGGTTAAGCGACCTCCAAGCACCCCACGGCTGGCCAGATGCAGCCAGGTTCCGCCCCAGCTGCGCTCCAGGCCGGGCCACAGCACCAGGGCGGGCCCTGCAGGCCTCTCACCTGCGGGACTCG